AAATAATAAAGAAATAAGACAATCAATCTTGAATCCATGCCAAAAAAAAAAGATGGACATGTTTCAATCGGTTTGATCAAAAAGTTTCAAGGAGAGAACTTGAGAAGATGAGCATTGTTAATGAGTATCCACTTAACACGGTGCAACATGTTGAATTTAGAAGTTATGTTAACTTGGTTAACCCGTTATTTAAACATGTGCTATGAACTACATTTTTTAAAGTGAACGGGCAAAAATAAAAAGGGTTTCGAGCGCTAACCAAGAAAAGTTGAGACCTAATAATCTTCTTTAAAAGGGGAATTGCTTCACAAGAAATGTTTTGCACATATCTTGAACTTAATTATTCAACAAGGATTATGTGCAATTCAAATTGGGATAGAAACTATTCATAAGAGTGTTGTTTATTGGACTGCAAATCCAAAAAGAATGGAACTTTTGAAGGAGGAGAATGATGGATTCTATCTCAAGCAAGAGAAAGGTAGTTTTAAATTGTAAAACTAAGTGGAATTCCACTTATCTAGGGCTATAAGTGCACTTGTGTATAGGATGTCTTCAATCGTATAGCACACACTAAGAAAAACTACAAGAAGACATTTAGTGATCAAGATTGGCATTTAGCAAAAATGATGTGTGAAAAACTCAAATTGTTTTATAGTGTGACTGACATGTTTTTTAGGGGTCAAATATCCAACTATTAATACTTTTTGCAAAAGATTTGTGAGATATGAATGTTGCTTCAAGAGTGTCTTATATAACTTTACATGGAGATCAAGACGATTGCTACCGATATGGTTGGGAAGTTTGACCAATATTAGCTTTCATAGTCATGAGTCCCCAAAAGAAGTTAAGCGAATTAGAAACTCAACTTATAATTTGTTAAAAGATAACAAGCCACATGTTACCCAAAAAAAATCCTCATTAAATAATATTAATTTTGGTATGGATATTTATGATTTTGGAGATCTTTTCTTGGTTACGATTTATTTTTTTAGTACCACTTCAATTGTTGGCACTTACAACTCTAGGTTATGTTGTTTTCTAGAGGAGAATGTTTTGCCAAGAACCTGCGATTTTGATATTTTAGCATGGTAGAAGGTTAAGGGTGCGTTTGGTTGTAAAAAACTATTTTCAATTTCCAAAAAAATGTTTTCGAAAAATAGAGTTTGAAAGAAAAGTTGAGACCTAATAATCTTCTTTAAAAGGGGAATTGCTTCACAAGAAATGTTTTGCAAATATCTTGAACTTAATTATTCAACAAGGATTATGTGCAATTCAAATTGGGATAGAAACTATTCATAAGAGTGTTGTTTATTGGACTGCAAATCCAAAAAGAGTGGAACTTTTGAAGGAGGAGAATGATGGATTCTATTTCAAGCAAGAGAAAGTTAGTTTTAAATTGTAAAACTAAGTGGAATTCCACTTCTTTAGGGCTATAAGTGCACTTGTGTATAGGATGTATTCAATCGTATAGCACACACTAAGAGAAACTACAAGAAGACAGTGATCAAGATTGGCATTTAGCAAAAATGATGTGTGAAAAACTCAAATTGTTTTATAGTGTGACCTAAGCAGTTATCGCGGTCCAAATTTCAATAGCGGTCACATGCCACTATTTGAAATCGCGGTTATCGCGGTGGTATAGCAGTGGTATAGCTGTTTTTTAATATTATGTATAATTTATATTATATATTTATACTAAATTTATATATTAGATTATTAATACTATATTGAATTAATATCATAAAAAATCATATAAAAACATAACATAATCTATATATAATATTCTAATATAGTTATATGGAAACTAAAAAGTGTCAAAATGTCATTACAGCTCAAGTCGTTCTTGGTTTCTAAGTACTGAAACAGACGAGAAATGGAAGTTGTCATTTGTTGATTTGTAGTTTGTAATTAATTATATTTATTATTTGGACTTATTAAGACAAAAAGTGTAGTGGACTAGTTAAAAAAATAAAGATTTAATATTGAAATAACACACAATCGTTTTTTTCTTTGTCAAAGTAGCTCAATATGTACGAAATTGTAAAAGCGGGTGTAGCGTCGCTATAGCGCTGATGAGTTTCGCGGTAAATAGCGGTCAATAGCGCCGCTAATAGCGTCACCACTATTTGAAAACGCTATTTCAAAATAGCGGTTCAGTAACACCGCAAAACGCTATAGCACCGCTATAGCGCGCTATTGATAGCATAGTGTGACTGACATGTTTTTTAGGGGTCAAATATCCAAACTATTAATACTTTTTGCAAAAGATTTGTGAGATATGAATGTTGCTTCAAGAGTGTCTTATATAACCTTACATGGAGATCAAGACGATTGCTACCGATATGGTTAGGAAGTTTGACCAATATTAGCTTTCATAGTCATGAGTCCCCAAAAGAAGTTAAACGAATTAGAAACTCAACTTATAATTTGGTAAAAGATAACAAGCCACATGTTACCCAAAAAAAATCCTCATTAAATAATATTAATTTTGGTATGGATATTTATGATTTTGGAGATCTTTTCTTGGTTACGATTTATTTTTTTAGTACCACTTCAATTGTTGGCACTTACAACTCTAGGTTATGTTGTTATTTAGAGGAGAATGTTTTGCCAAGAACCTGCGATTTTGATATTTTAGCATGGTAGAAGGTTAAGGGTGCGTTTGGTTGTAAAAAACTATTTTCAATTTCCAAAAAAATGTTTTCGAAAAATAGAGTTGAAAGAAAAGTTGAGACCTAATAATCTTCTTTAAAAAGGGGAATTGCTTCACAAGAAATGTTTTGCAAATATCTTGAACTTAATTATTCAACAAGGATTATGTGCAATTCAAATTGGGATAGAAACTATTCATAAGAGTGTTGTTTATTGGACTAAAAATCCAAAAAGAGTGGAACTTTTGAAGGAGGAGAATGATGGATTCTATTTCAAGCAAGAGAAAGTTAGTTTTAAATTGTAAAACTAAGTGGAATTCCACTTATCTTGGGCTATAAGTGCACTTGTGTATAGGATGTCTTCAATCGTATAGCACACACTAAGAAAAACTACAAGAAGACAGTTAGTGATCAAGATTGGCATTTAGCAAAAATGATGTGTGAAAAACTCAAATTGTTTTATAGTGTGACCGAGATGTTTTTTAGGGGTCAAATATCCAACTATTAATAGTCTTTGCAAAAGATTTGTGAGATATGAATGTTGCTTCAAGAGTGTCTTATATAACCTTACATGAAGATCAAGACGATTGCTACCGATATGGTTGGGAAGTTTGACCAATATTAGCTTTCATAGTCATGAGTCCCCAAAAGAAGTTAAGCGAATTAGAAACTCAACTTATAATTTGGTAAAAGATAACAAGCCACATGTTACCCAAAAAAAAATCCTCATTAAATAATATTAATTTTGGTATGGATATTTATGATTTTGGAGATCTTTTCTTTGTTACGATTTATTTTTTTAATACCACTTCAATTGTTGGCACTTACAACTCTAGGTTATGTTGTTATTTAGAGGAGAATGTTTTGCCAAGAACCTGCGATTTTGATATTTTAGCATGGTAGAAGGTTAAGAGTGCGTTTGGTTGTAAAAAACTATTTTCAATTTCCAAAAAAAATGTTTTCGAAAAATAGAATTGAGTTTTCATTTTCAATTTTCAATTTTCAATTTTCAATAAAAAATTTAGAAAATATTTTTGGTTGGAAATGTGGAGTTTTCATTTTGCATCTTAGAAATTCAGATGACTTTGGAAAATTGTAAAAATCACGTTTTCTAGTTTACATGCAATTTTGGAAAAATAAAAATTTTCATTTTCTTAGAAAAATTTTGGAAAACTAAACGAACCAAACGCATTTTCAAAATTTCTGTTTTTCTTGGAAAATTTTCCTCAACCAAACGCACCCTAATATTCTTAAATATCCTAATTTGCAAAGACTTTTTAGACATGTATTGGGTATACGATTGTCCACGGTTGGCTATGAGTTAGCCTTAAGCAACGCCAGAAGACATGTAACTCCTCGTTGTAATAGGCTTCAACCTAATACATTAGAACCATTAATTTGTTCATAAGATTGGATATTGGATGAGAAATTAGATATGGTTTTTTATATTTAAACATTTATATTATTTTATTTTCTTTAATATAAATTATTTTGTAAGAGACTAAGAGTACTTATCTTTTTATTTATTTATTGCTAGAGTGGACTAGAAAAACATCTTCCAAAATTTAAAATTATAAGAGATGATGAAGCAGGTCCAAATTTTGTGGATTTTGATACTTTGTCTATGAAGATTTGTCATTTTTTATTTTAGTTTCTTAACATGAGAATGACGTCATCATCTTTTATAATTTGACGTCTATGAGAATGAACTAAAATAAAGGCTTTTTTTAGTGTTTCTTGGTCTTAGTTACTGTTTCTTGGCCTTAATTAGTTGTTATGGGTATCAAATTCTATTTTATTGTTTTTTTTTTTTTTTGAACGACTGAAAAATAAAAATAAAGGCTTAAACGAAGGAAACAAGCCAAGTCACGATCAAACTTGTAACTTCCCACATAAGGGGTCAGCACCTTTTCCACCCTTTAAATGTTTCTGGTCTAATTAAATGTCTTGGCATCGATTTTATTGTTTGTGGGTATCAATTAGTTGTTTATGGTCTAACTAAAAGTCAATTTATGTTAAACTTGGTGAAGTAGTGATGTTATTACAAGTGAATCAGTTTTACATTCCATTTCATTCATCTTCTTCCCTAATTTCTTTATGCTTTCCTTCATTTTCATTATCCCTAGATTTATGAATGTAAAGTATATAGCCTAAAGGGATATAAATGAATAATATCTAAATAGCAAATAAACTACAAGTGGATATATATTATCACGATTTGGTGATCAAAAACATATAAACAAATTACAACACTATTTTACTTATTTTTGTTGGTAGAGACAAAAGCTATCGGCAATTTCTTCTTTGTTTCAATCAATTGTGATGTTTATGATAGTTATATCCAGATTAAATTATTTTGGTAACTCAAAAGGATAATTTTGCAAAATTACAATTTTGTTCGATCAAGACCATAACTAGAAATGTACACGAAAAAACAAGAATATAAGTATTGACAAAAGATATATGAATAAATATTGTTCTTACATTTAAAGCGCCATGATTTTGAAAATTGGGTAAGGAACGAAGCTAGCGATTAAATGCAACAGATAAAGAGAGGGATAGGATAATCCAGGTGAGGAGGAAGTATCCTACAAATCTAGTGGGCCCAAAATCTTCAGGGTCCTGTAATATCACCATTTAATTTAACCATCATGTCATACTTTACTTCCATTGTAACATTGAGGGAATAAGACAAGACTAGACTGCATTGGATTGGATTGGACTGGCCAGAACATAACTAAACTAAACTGACTGGACTGAACAGAACTAAAAAAAATATATTTTATATGGTTATTTAGAGATTGAAAATGGATGATACAAAAATTGTGATTTTTTAATCTTAAGAGCATCCATAATAGGAGCCTTTTCAAACCAAAAAGCTCTTTGATAATTGAAAAAGCTTTTTCAAGTTGCTTGTTAATTAACAAGTTTTTCTAATGAGTTTTTTCAATGATAGTGTGGGTCCCATATTTTTTCAACCAATTGTAACTAAAAGACAAATGAAAACATCTAGAAGAAAGCAAATTGAAAAAGCTACGAGTTTTTTTTCTTTTCCAACTTTTTCATAACAAAATCCACTAGTAAGCTCTCCTATTGTGGATGCTCAGCATCCACAATAAGAAATGTTTTTAGTGAAGCTTTTTCATATCTCTTTTTTTTGGGATATCCACAATAGAAAAAGCTCAAGGTAAAAAAACCTTATTGCATCTCTCACAATAGGAGAGTTTTTTCAAATCTATTTTTTTTGGGATATTTTCATATGTTGTTGCTTACAATTAGTTGGAAAAATATGTCGCCCACACAATCATTGAAAAAGCTTATATGAGGAGTTTGTTAATTACCAAGAAACCTTGATTTTTTTTTTTTTAAAAAAAAAAAAAACTCTACTTGTAGCTTTTCCAAATACATGTCAAACTCACTACAATGTCTTAAATTTTAGTCACTTCATGTCCTTTCCTAACAAATATTTCCTAAATAAATTTCTTTTTCTATCCATATGGGAGGGTTATTTACTTATTACACATTTATACACCAACTAGGAACAATCCAAAAACCCTAAGGGCCTAAACTAAACATATCATATTACCAAATTCTGATCCCAAAGAGTACATAAAGTCAGAGATTTACCTGTGCTGGAGGAGGGGTATCTGGTGAATTTATGGTTTGAGTAATATCAACCTCAAAAGGCCAAGCATATCGATCTGGGTTTTCATTCCTTGCCAAGCTCCAATCATACAGCCTTCTATCCTCTACTGAAGACAAGATTGTGTAGGACTCCTGAAACATAAACAAAAGACATTTTATCAAACAGTTGGTGTGCATTTCTTGTTTGGGACTTTTTAGTTTTTAACTTTTTATACGTACCTTTAAGAGGTCAAGCTTCTTGGTTAGCTCCTCTTGTTCCAGACCTTGGTTCATTAGTTCCTCAAGCTTTACATCATATGCAACTTTGACCTGGGATGGTGAATTTAGAAGAAGAGGGTTGACCATGGAGTGAAATTGAAATGAATGACAGAAGAATTTAACGAACCTGGTCATATGGACATCCCTTTTTTAGTCCTAGTATGCCATAGTAATCTGCATCTGTAATGGCTGCATTCTAAATAGAAACTTCATCAGACTTCTGCGATTTTTTTTCAAAATTTTACACCCGACAAGCAAAAATTTCATTGTTTTTTTTTTTTATGGAATTTCATATTCCCTATAGTGTTTGATTGGTGAAAAAGATGGAAAACAATTAGAATTCAAAAAAGAGTACCAATTCCACGAAGAGCTTTTTCTACGTTTAGGGCAGAAATCAAAGAAGGAGGTCCCTTTGGTACTTCAATCTTACTCTCCTCCGTTCCCTCGACCTCCGTAGTGGCTGCCGACGACGATGGTAAATCGTCGGCGGAACTACTGACACAGAATCGACGCGTTGATTTCCTCACGAAACTGATGTAATTGTTGGAGCAGCTTCTTCCAATGGCCAGAGGTTTCCGGCAGAGATAAATACTTGCAGTGGCGGAAGTGGTGGTGGTCGCCGACGTAGCCATGGCCATGCGTTGGGGGAGAATTTCCGTTATACGGTTTCATTACTCTTCCACGCTTGTCTACAAAACTACAAATCCAAAACCATGAGAAAGAAATAGATAACGCAACGTTGTCTTACAGCCAATCGTTTTATTTAAAAAACAATAAATAAAATTATTGCAAAGCTCATAACATATCAGTCGTTGTAGTATAGTGGTAAGTATTCCCGCCTGTCACGCGGGTGACCCTGGTTCGATCCCCGGCAACGGCGTTTTTTATTTTTAAATTCACAAATTTTTTGACTATTAAGGAATTAATGTCTCTTTTTTCTAAAACAATTTGCATATGTCTATGTATTATTACTCCTAAGTAACATGTTTGTATGATAGACACGAAATCTTTTGAAAAAGTCAAATGAACAAGTATGAATTGAGCTTCTTAACAACATTGGTGTCATTCATTTCAAAGTCTGTTTAAATATCTTCATACTTACGAATAATTGGTGGTTTCTTTCAAATTATTCATATTCTGTGTTTGAATTCAGCTTGCATAAAACTGAAACCTAAGGATATTTAAATTTTATATGAATATTAAACTCTTTTCATGATCTTTTAAACATCTGAATGTAATTTTTTTTTCTTAGTTTGTAGAGTATGTATATGCTATTGCAAAAGCTCGAAATAATGTCCCACTTAGCACTTAGCAATTAGCATTGATCTGGTTCTTAATCTCTTCTTGACTTCCTTTTTTTACATTATATTATTTTGTGTACGCCTTTTTTTTGCTTATAATTAAATTTCATATTTTTGTTGTAGATTCATGATGCTTTGGAGGTGGGTGACAAAAAGCTAGATGCATTGTGCATTTTAGCTGAGAGCTCAAAAATGATGATTGGGTCAAAGACAAAAGATACCTTTCTTGCAGAAAAAGACACATCTAATGGAAAAGATTCTTATGATACTCTTCTCCTTGTAATAAATTTTCTAAAAATCAGCTATTAGCTCTTAAGAATCAACTTGCTTAAGATTTTCAATTTAAAATTGTAATTAGCCTTCATATATGCTCCTTCATTTAAAGTCTTCGGACCATTAAGTTAAAAAGAAAGAGAAAGGAAGTGATTACATGATTTTGAACATGGTAATTTATTACATTTTGACTTTAAATAAATTATCTTCCAACTTTGCGATCGTCATTATAGAATCCTGTAATGCATTGTTGTTCTTGGAATTATGTGCTACTTTTGGAAATGTAACTTAAATTCTACCTTAGTGATTAAATACAAGAAATGGCAGAGCACTTTTGTTGACTTTTTAATTATAGAATCCATCTTTTATTTCTTCAAAATCTATTGCTAATAAAAAAACAATTGAAAGTACATTGCTATAATCGGGCAAAATTTTCAATGTATATTGCCTTAATAAGAAAAAAAAAAGCATGAACATATAATGTTGAAATTAGGATGCTGCAATGCACAAATAAATAAAAGTACATTGGTATTTCTTGTGTTTGCTCTTTTCTGTTACTAAAGACTAAATTTGTATATCCCTTTAAATATGTCGGTGTTGGAATAAAATTTGTTGAAACTTTCCTCATTTTGAAGTTTTTAGATGTGCGAAAAGGGCAAAAAAAAAAAGAGTAGAATACATATGTTGGAAAAAAAATTGTTGAAACTCTCCTCAGTAGATTACATATATTGGGAAAAAAAAGAGTAGAATACATTGCTATTCCTTACAATTTCCCCATATTATGTTTGCCAAGAACCAACGAACCATCCTACTTTGTTTTCTCAATTTCTCAACTTTATTTATATTTTTATCAAAAAAAAACAGCTAAGCACAATGACCAAATATGTATTTTTCTAACCATATATCTAAATATCTAAGCACATGGAACTGATATTACTTGAACACATACCAAAAATGATGTCGATTGTAATGAAAGTATGTTGCTATTTCTAACAAGCAAACTGAAATAGTATAGATTAAAGAAAGCTCCACATTTCCGAATGTAGGATGCTATTTTCAGAGAATATGATGTTATTATAAACATATAAGTACATTGTTATACCTAGACAACATAAATATAAGTACATTGTTATACTTGGACAACAAAAAGAGATGCAAGTAGGATGGTATAATATATATATATATATATATATATATATATATATATATATATATATATATATGGAATTAACATTGTACTTCCCCATTAATTATGTACGCCTTTTATTAATACAGTCACACAACATCAGCATATACAATGTGTCTGGCTATATGTGTGTGTGTGTTTGAGTGTGTATGTGTTAAAAATAGCGACGAACATTCTTATTTTCCAATAAAAAAATATCTTGTAAACCTCTATTTATCTTTGTTTTCCATGATCTTTCAAAAAAAGCAATGAATTTTACTAGATGGGGTCATGAAAGGACGATCAAAATGCGATGGGAATAACCAAGTTTTGGAAAACATTATTTCTTGTACCTTAACGAAAAAACAACTAAGTGCAGGGACAAATAGGCAAATATGCAATTTACGCAACATATATCTAAGCACAGGGAATTAACATCATTGTAGAGAAAAAAACATTATAAGTTACGACGCTATTGCTTGAAAACATGAAACCTAAAATTATAAAAGTTGTAATGAATGTATGTTGTTATTTCTAGCAAGCAAACTGGAATGGTAAAATAATAAAATAAAAATGTAATGCAATTAATGAATTACATAAACAAAAACATGTTTAATAAGAAAAACTTCATTCCATTCTGATTCTTTTAGAGTTTTCACTGACAGGGGAGATAAAGATGAGGGCAATATACTCATTTTGCTTTGGACTTAACATAGATTTTTTAGCATGCAACACCGTAATTTTTCAAACAAATTTTTCATTTTAAAATCGCATACTTTTCATAACATATTGTATAGAAATCTCGTTTATTCAAATTACAAAACACAACTCCATTAAAAATCCAGGATCCTCAAAACATAACTCTTTCTCTGGTGTGTACAATCAAACTGGTGGCTTCCCGCGATTCCTGAGAACAACCTGAAACACATAACACATAACACGGTAAGCACGAAGCTTAGTGAGTTCCCCAAAATACCACATACAGCACGTATTAGCCACTCGAGGCTATAACTCTGTGGACCCTCTGGTCCTAACTCTGTGGACCCTCTGTCCTAACTCTGGTCCTAACTCTGTGGACCCTCTGGTCCTAACTCTGTGGACCTTCCGGCCCTAACTCTGTAAACTCTGAACAATACATAGCATAAATCACATAGAAATAATGCAGTGTATCACATCATATATATATATATATATATATATATATATATATATATATATATATATATATATATATATATAGCATACAAGGTACTCTGTCACACATCTCTAATTACCACTCTAGGTAAAGTATAGTGAGAAGATTCACCTGACAAGCAGCAAGTAAATACCCTCGCACCCGAAACTCGAACTAGCCTCCGCCTAGCACAAAAGATGAATATCTCTAATCAATACTCTTCACACGACCCCAATAAATGAGGGCTATTCTTCTTTCTCTAACTCTTGAATTGGGTAAAATACCATTTTACCCCTCCATGGTCTCCATTACTCATGTTGACCAAACCCCAGAGTCAACAGAAGTCAAACTCGAGTCAACAGTCCATGTCTGACCCGACTCGCCGAGTGCACCCTTGCGACTCGTCGAGTCCACTTACTTTCCTCAGAAATCTCGTGACAGTCCAGCTCAGCTCGTCGAGTTGACCCCCAACTCGTCGAGCTATCGCATGCTCAAGCTCATCGGGACAAACCCTCACTGACTCGTCGAGTCAACTCATGGACTTGACGAGTCCCCTCGGTCTGATTTCTCATTGAGACGTCCAAAGTCAGATCTCTCTTTCCAAACCCTAGATCTAGCCCTTTAATACACCAGAGACACATAAAGTCTCGACCTTTACGTTCATACATGGCATAAATGCCTCAAAATGCCAAAACAAGCCCTTCTTAAGGTGTTAAGCACAACAACCCTCATTTGGATGAATAAAGTTGGGACCTTTGGACTCTAGGGACCTCACAAGGTCCAGATCTGAGGACTAGGCTTCTAGCTAATCCATTTTACTCAAAGTCCCAAACCAAAGGTGGTAAAATCCCTAGAACTCCAAACACATGAGATCTAACCAAAATAATGAGAAAGGTGCAGAATTTTACCTTCCTCAGAAGCTCTGGACGATCTATCACTGGATCCAACTTTCCCCCTCTTGATCCTTGCTTGATCTCCTTCTCTTCTTCTCAAATGATACACTAAAAATCCCAAGATAGCTTCTCTCTCACTTTCTAGCTCAAATGACCTTTAGGGTTTGCTTCCAGGGAAAGGGTGGCCGCAAATGAGGCTATAAGTGCCTTTAAATAGGTCCCAAACCCCGGAAATTAGGGTTTCTCTAATCAGCGCCTACTCGACGAGTCCCTCTCCTCGGACTCGTCGAGTCCACTCATTAAATCCACGGGAGAAACCCGACTCGACTCGGTGAGTTGGACCCTCAACTCGTCGAGTCTCTCCTTTAATCACAAGATTAACCTACACCATAATACCTCTAAAAATCCGGATGTTACAATTCTCCCCCACTTGAATTAGATTTCGCCCTCGAAATCACTCCTTAACCACTCACATAATGAAATCATCAATCCAAAGGCACCACCGAAAGGATCTCATACTACCCCAATATCTTCCTCTATGGACACCTGAAACCACACAAAACTCCCAAGACCATAACTGAACCAACTCTTCTGTCGCTAGTATACTCCTCCCCACTATTCGAAAGCTCTAGTGGCCTGACCCGCCGCCAGACCGCCTACTCAAGCGATCACCATGATATTTGCTCCTCGAATATCAAACCCTGATAACTCACTGATCCTCTGATTCTCATAAGACCAAATCCAACAATCGGCTACCGCTTACTCATATCAACATGCTAATGATCCAAATCACGCCCCAAGAAACTGAAGGGTCCACACCCCACCAGGGATCATACACTAAACTGCTATCAGAACCCATCCGAAGAAAGAATCCTCAACACTCTGC